TCTCCCGTGGTACTGCCACCACAGGGCGTCATGAACATACCCGGGATCTCTGAATGTTACCCTCTGCTTCCCCCTTTTCTTAGTGTAAAAAAGCTTTACATGAAATCTACCTTAACAACATTTTTTAAAAGATTTTTATTTTTAGAGAGGGGGCAGAGAGGGAGAAATAGAAACACCAATGTGTGGCTGCCTCTCGGGCACCCCCTACTGAGGACCTGGCCCTCAACCCAGGCATGTGCCCTGACTGGGAATCCAACCAGCGAACCGTGGGTTCCCAGGCCGGCACTCAGTCCACTGAGCCACACCAGCCAGGGCCTAACGACATTTTACGTGCACAATACCATGTTGTTAACTACAGGTACTACCTCCTAGGTTGCCCCAAGACTCTTCATGCTGCACTCTACACACTCTGGACAGGGGGGCCGACGTCACTGAGGAGCCGGAGGTGGCGGCCGTGTCAGTAACGTCGGAAGGGTCACCGCCCAGCTGGTTCTGCAGGCACACAGGGCCACTGCCCTCTGCCTGGGCACCTGCGGGCTGTGTCCTGGGAAAGGACAGTGTCTGGGAGATGCCCCAAGGTCAAGGGTTCGGACAGAAAGCCTTTCAGTCATCCAGAACTCCTGGGTCCCACCCCAGGCCTCATGGTGTAAAACAGGGCGCCTCTCCCCAAGGTGCAGAAAAACTCAAGTTCTGAAGCCACAAAAAGGAATGAAACACCACAGCAACGTGGTTCACGGTGAAACAGGAACCAAGAACATGCTTCACTGGAGAAATGACAGAAACCCAGCTGCCCTTTTCCACCCGGACGGCCTGTCCTGGCCCACCATCGCTGAGGCCTTTGCCCCCCCTGCCACTGGGGCCCAGCCCACCATGCCTGCACCCCAATCTGGCTGTGAACCCCGGCTGTGGGTGAGGATGGCACTGGCATCCAGGCACCCCTGTCCGTAGTGTGCTGGGTGCCCTGACGGTGGGTGCTGGTGCGGCTCAGGGGCCTGTCACCTGGGTGCCACTCGAGTCTCCAAGCCCCCACCTGGAGGCCCAGCACGCCCTTGGGAGCAGGGGGACCACAGGGGCCAAGGGCGTTGCACAGCCTGAACTCGGGGAGCTGGGGGCTCAGAGTGTCTCAGAAGGGCTGGCCTCTCACTTCCCCTGGCCAGGGGACACACCCACGTGCAGTGTGTGTCCTGAGGGAAGTTTGCCCCAGACTGTCAGGAATCCACGGGTCCCGGGGAACCAGCCTACGGACGCCCCCGTCTACCCCAGTGACGCCAGGTACTCGGTGGGCAGGGCCTCCAGGGCTGCTCACCCAACCCTCCCGGCCAATAAAGGGGTCCTGACGCCCAAATGCGCAGTTTGCCCGCCGGGAAGAACGCCGTCATAAAATCCTGGTCCTTTCATGTGAGCCGCGTCCCCGGGGCTTCTGCAGCCCCATTTTCCTAAGTGCCCAGCTCCGGCGCCCTGTGCCCACCATTGAGGATACCCGGCCAGGCGGAGGATCAAGTACTCCTCACACACCGATAGTCCCCGAGGTCCAGCTGGGGCAGCAGGGCGAGGCCCGGATGGGGCCGCATGGGACCAACACGGGTAGAGGCGCAAGAGGACACGGGCACAGCCCAAGGGACGGCTGAGGCTGGGCAGGCGATGGTCTCGCGGGGCAGGGCCTCAATCCCAAAAGGGTGTCCCGAGCTCAGGCCCAGTCTGCTGGGGACAGGCGGTCTCCCCTCCGCCTCGGAGGCAGGCGTCTCCCCCGAGTCTCTGGCCACACCGGGCCCGGAAGCCGGCCCACCAAGACCCTGGACAACTCAGGCCCAACAGGACTGGGATGACCCCTGTCTGAAACAGGGGCCAGCCCCTCCGGCTGGGGTCACCCCTCGAACGCCCTGTTGTGAGCACTCACCCTGCTCCTGGGAGCAACCCGCTACCCGAGTAATCCTGGACCCCAAACCACAGGGACTCATTCCCAGAATCTGGTGCCCTTCGTGGGACTGACAGTCCTGCCCCACCCCGCCCCAGCCCCTGGTTCGCCTAGGGAACAGGTCCGGTCGCTAGGCAACCGCCCCAGGCTTCAACACCAGGGTCCCCCGGCATGCTGGGAGTTGTGGTGTATAGGTGGACGTGGCCGGTGCACTGGAGCATTGTCCCTGGGATCACGCAGGGTGCTGGGGAGGACAGTCCCTCGATGAGGCCCGGCACAGGACGAGGGGCAGAGGTCGAAGTCCCTCTGCGGAGACGCAGGCCTCAGGGACAGGTCATCTCGTGCATGGGTGTTGAAGTCAGCATGACCCCCGTGGTGTGGGGGACAACCCCCCAGCCAGATGGTCAGAGATCCGCCCCGGGGCTGCAATGGGCTGGGCCCCGACAGACCAGTTCCAAGCAGGCTGAGAGGAAGGGACTGGGGGTGGACGGGGCGTGCGTTCCAGGCAGAGAGGACTGTCCTGGCAGGGACCCCAGGAGAAGGCAAGATGCAGACAAACTCAGCGTGACCACGGGACCCACGCAGCAATGCCAGCAAGAGTTTAGGACTTGAGGTGCGGGCTGGGGCTGCCAGTTCCCCTAAACAAATCAGAATGGCAGAGACCCTCCCCAGGGTGGGGTAAGGGTGGGTGGCAGGGAGGGTGAAGGCCAGATCTGTGCTCCCACCCCCAGTCCAGCTGCAGTGGAGGAGACTGGACTCAGGGAGGCCGGAGGGGAGCCAGAGTGGACAGAAGCTGAGTCAGTGACGGGCAGCAGCGTGGAGGGAGGCGGGGCCTAGGGGGCTGGGCACACAGGTCTGGGAGGGACAGGGGACCCTCACACCCTGGGGTGGGGGGACTCGGGAGGAGATGCCTGTGGGGATGACGCCCAAGGGTGTGGACGGGACAGGCTGGCTGGAGTGGCGTGGACTTCGCTGAGGGACTGCGTGGGAGCTGAAGGTGCTCGGCGCCCCACGGGAGTGCGGAGCCCCGGGTGGGCACCTCCAAGGACGGGTGCTGCTCGGGGTGAGTCGGGGGGGCAGGGGCGGGCGCGTTCTCAGGGGAGCGCTGGACGGATGGTGCTGTCATTCCCAGGGACAGAGGCCCCGGGGACACCACAACCTGCACAAGAGGCCACTCCAGCCTCTGGTCCCCGATCGGGGCCCCGCACCCACAAACCACACCCTCGGCTCCCCTGACTCTCTGTGCACCATGTCCCCTTCCCAGGACAACACACCCGAAGTTGTCCCCGCACCAGGAATGAGAGGCAACACCATTCAGAATGTAAATTTTGAGACTTCCAGCAACATGGAGGCATAGGTGGACGCACCGTACCTCCACGCACAACCAAGATTAGAACAACAATTTAGAGGCAGAATAACACCCAGAACTGACAGAGAATGTATCTGAATGGAAGTCAGACAGCCAAGAAGGTGAAGCAGACCCGTTCATCCAGACCGGTGGGAGGGGCAGAGATAAGCAGCAGCCAGCGCCGGTCGCGGAGCGCAGAGAACAGGGAGAACTGGGCGCAGAGGGCAACCGGGAGCGCGTGAGACATCCCTAGGCCATCCGGGGTGCGCGGGATCGCAGCGGGTGGGCCCTGAGTCCGAAAGCCGCAACTGGCGGACCCAGTGAGGCTGCGATTGTGAACCAGGGCAGAGCGCGCAGCCCAGGATCCCAGGGAGGGGACTGGGATCCCGGGAGGGTAGAGCTACCGCCATTGTTCCCTCCTACCCCCACCCCCACATACATCGTCACAATCTAGCGACTGGGGAGCCCAGCCCCGGTGGACACCTAAGGCTCCGCCCCTCACTGTCACAGGAGCGACAGGTCTCAAACAGAAAAACAGATCAATGCCCCAGGGATCATCCTATTGAGTGACCAAGAGATAGTCAACCTGTCAGATGCACAGTTCAAAACACTGGTGATCAGGAAGCTCACGAATTTGGTTGATTTTGGGCGCAAGTTACATGAAAAAATGCAGGTTACCATAAAAGAGATGAAGGAAGATGCACGGAAATCCAATAGGGATGGGAAGGAAACTGGGACTCAGAACAATAGAGTAGACCAGAAGGAAGAAGAAAACAAACAAGCAGGAAAGAATGAAGAAATAAGAATTCAAAAAAACAAGGAGAAGCTTACGAACCTCCAGGACATCTTTAAGCGTTCCAACATCCGAATTATACGGGTACCAGAAGGGGAAGAGGAAAAGCAACAGATTGAGCACGTATTTGAATAAATAAAAAGGAGAACTTCCCCAGTGTGGCTAAAGAAATAGACTTCCAGGAAATCCGGGAAGTTCAGAGGGCCCCAAAGAAGTTGGACCCAAGAAGAAACACACCAAGGCACATCATAATTACATTAGCCAAGGTAAAAATGAAGGAGAGAACCCTAGAAGCAGCAAGAGATAAGGGGACAGTCACCTACAAAGGAGTTCCCATCAGACTGTCAGCTGATTTCTCAAAAGAGACCTTGCAGGCAAGAAGGGGCTGGAAAGAAGTATTCCAAGTCATGAAAGGCAAGGACCTACATCCCAGATTGCTCTACCCAGCAAAGCTCTCATTTAGAATGGAAGGGCAGATAAAGTGCTTCTCAGATAAGGTCAAGTTAAAAGAATTCTTCATCAACAAGTCCTTGTTTTATGAAATGCTAAAGGGACTTATCTAAGAAAAGAAGATAAAGAAAAAACATCTATAGTAAAAGGACAGCAAACTCACAATTATTAACAACCACACCTAAAGCAAAACCAAAAGAAACGAACCAAACAACTAGAACAGGAACAGAACCACAGAAATGGAGATCACATGGAGGGTTAGCAACAGGGGAGTGGGAGGAGGAGAGAGGGGGAAAAGGTACGGAGAATAAGTAGCGTAGAATGTAGGTTGAAAACAGATAGGGGGAGGGTAAGGATAGTACGGGAAATCTAGAAGCTAAAGAACTTATAAGTATGACCCATGGACATGAACTAAAGGGGGGAATGTGGGTGGGAGAGGGGGTACAGGGTGGAGGGGAGTGAAGGGGGGAAATGGGACAACTGTAATAGCATAATCAATAAAATATATTTTAAAAACTTTAAAAAATAAAAAAATATATAAATTTTACTGGGTAAAAAAATTTGTACAAACATGTGAACACACTATGTAAGAGAAATGTTAACACATAAAGAAAACTGGAAGAGCACATATGCTGATTGTCTAGAGAACTGTACAAAGGCATTTAAACCTGGCATGAGACTGTCCCCATGCCCCACCCCAGCTAACCTGGTGACAGCTGAGTGGCCACTAGTTTATCTGTCATGGACTGACTTAAGTGTCACCCAGGTATGGCGCTCCCAAGTGGAAGCCGGGGGGCATCGCAGTGCCAAGGAGACCAAGGAGTGAGCTGCTGGGGTCACACACGTGACCAGCCAGCCATCCTGGCCTCTGTTTCTGGAGGAGGCCACGGCTCGTGGGCCCACCGAGCACAGCCAGTGGGTCCCTTTCCAAGCAGCTCAAGGCCCCTGGAGTCCCCTGAGGGCCAGCCTGTAGGCCACATGGGCTGCAGGCAGAGGGGCCCCACCTTGCGTGAACCTCCCCGTCGGAAGCTTCCAGAAGAAGCTCCTTGGACACGGAGGGGCTCCGTCCCACCTGGGACCTGTGAAGGCGCCCACGGGAAGGGACCTGGGGAAGGTCAGCACCCAGGATGCTGCTAAGTCCCAGTCGTTGCCAAAGGAGCTGACTCCAGTTCGGGGCTCTGCGTCCTCACGACCTAAGACACCTTCCGCACCAGCTCATTGCTAACATTCTCCAGACGCTCCCGCAGCCGCATCTCACGGAGGGCCGCCATGAGTCTGAAGGGGGACGCGGCTCGCCCCAGCTCGCTCTGCCAGCGCGGCAGTATCCTGTGCTGCTGCTCCGCCAGGGTCCCCGGGTCCCCGTGCTCACAGATGACAAGGTCGTTCTCCTCCAGTCCCTTGGATCTCATGAACATGAGGTTCCTCCAGCTAGATTGTGGAACCTCCTGCCCGATTTCGGAGTAGATTGTTCGTGGCTGAAAAGAGAAAATCACGGAGGGAGCCTTGGCCTCGTCCCTGGGAGGCAGGCGTGGCGTGTGCTGTGCGCTGTGGGGGTCCCAGCTGGCAACCAGGTCCAGGGTCCGCAGGAGGCCTTGGGCGCCCAGGCTGCCCTCGCAGAAGGGACCAGGCAGGGGGACAGGAGAGCGCGGTAGGACACGACCCGGCCGGGCTCCTGACAGGCCTGACGCTCATTCACACGGAGCCAGGGAGCCCGGCAGAGGGCCCTGCGGGGGCCCGAGGGGGGAAGCCCCGGGGTGAGGTGTCCACTGAGGCGCCCCCCTGCTGACCCGCGGGACCAGAGCGGCTGTGCGGGCAGCAGGGGCGAGGTCTGTAACCTCGCTGGGGCTCCCGACTGTCTGACCTTTGGATCTGCCACGTGGGGGGTCTCCCTGAGCTGTCAGAGGACGAGAGTACAAGCAGCACGCGGCCTGTCGCTGGTGCCGCAGGAAACCCTCACCCCCGTCCCACTGACAGCAGCGCCGCAGTCCCCGCGGCCTCACCAGGCCTGGGTCACCCAGGCCTTCCTACCGGCCACTCACGTTCCTGCTCAAACCCGTGGATGCGCAGTAACGCAGGGCCGCCTGCGTCTGTCCTCACGGCCAGAACTGACACTGGACAGAGGCCCGTGTGCCCTCCTGCCTGCAGTGAGTGTCGGACCGAGAGTCTGATGCCCACGGGACGTCCCTGAGCTGCCTGTGGGCCCAGGGTCCCGCTTGCCAGAAGAAAGGACGTTGGGTCGTGACGTCACACCTCGAAAGTCACTACAAAAGAAGGTTTTGGGGGACTTACCCTCATGAGACCCGTCCTTCAAAACACGCTTGTTCATATTGCTGCGGAGAGAAGGAAATAAAATTGTTCCAGGAGGAGACACCGGGGCAGCTTCCTGGCAAAATCCCGAGGAAACAGAACAACCCAAGTTTGGGTGGGCAGGGTGGGTGGGGGCAGCGGGGCCTCCACACGCTGTCCAGTCAGTGTCTGGGGACGGGGCCCGGCCTCTCAGAAGGGGCAGAGAGCGCACAGCCCAGCCGCCCTCTGGGTCACACTCCCCAGGACACGGCCTGGGCCGGGGCAACACTGGGCTTCCCAGTGCCCTTCCCTGGAGGGACCCCAGCCTGCACTGGACGCTGGACAGGCTCTGCACCCTTCCGACACCCTGTGCACACTGTCCCCCTTCCTGAAGGGTCCTCCTCCCCAGGGCCCCGTAGGGAACGTCTACTAGTCCGTGAAGTCCTACTCAGCTGCCATGGCCTCGTTACAGCCCCCGATGGAGGCTGTGAGTCTCCATGGCCTGGAGGACAGTGAGTCTCTCCCGGGCACAGCTGGACGTGAGGCCAGCTTCTGTCCCACAGGCACACGCGATGCCGTGTGTGCACCCTGCCTCCGGTCCTACCCACTCCCGATGACACACGCAGCACACAGGAGGTGCTGGGGCCACAAGACCTCAGAGTCCGGTGCGCGCTGGACACTGAGGGGTCAGTGCCCATGAGCCGGGCCTCCACCAGGCAGTGCCCTCCCAGCGGTGGGACCTGGGAGAGCTGGGCCCCTGGGTCTCAGTGGCCCCGGGGAGCCACCGTTCCCTCAGACAACAGGTGTGGTGGGGGCTGTCACAGGCTGCACTGTGTCCCCAAAGATGTGGGTGTCCTAAGCCCAGCAGCCAAGAGTGTGGCCTTGTCTGGAAACTGGGTCGCTGTAGACGTGACCTGTCCAAATGAGGCCGCAACACAACAAGACCAGTGTCCTCTTTTAGGGACACAGACTCACACACGGGGACAACGCCACGGGAACCTGAACATCTGCCCCCAGCACAGGGAGACACTGACATTCTGTCCTTTAAGCTGCCTGGTCTGTGGGGCTGCGTCTCGGTCACCGGGGAAACTCAGACGGGAAGTTAGGGCACACAGGGCAGCACTGTGCACGCCCTGCACACACACGGCACGTGCGCCACAGACACAGGGGTCCTTGCTGTCACGCTTACCCAGATGCCCCTCACCTTCTCTGAGGTGTGGATGGGGGCTGCCACCCCCTGGAGGCACCTGGGTCTGCAGCGCCTGCTGTGGGTTGGCCATGCCCCCTGCGGGCACCACCGCCTGCAGCTCGACACTGGCCTCAGAGTCCTCAGGGGACCGCACGGCTGCGCCCTGCTGCTGCAGCAGTGGTCTGGTGTCTGCGCCGGCAGCTGGTGGGCCCCGCTCTGCATCCTCGGGCAGCAGATTCACCCTGGGCTGGGTGCCTCCCTGTGACTGAAGAAGAAAGCCGTGACTTTTGATGGCAGGGGCCTGCAGCGCAGCCCTCCCCAACCGCTTCTGGGGGAAATGCCACCTCATCTGATAGCTCAGCCGGGGCCGTGCAGTAGCAGAGAAAAGTACTTTGTGGGGTCAGGTGCAGGGTGGCCCCCCAACTCTGCAGGGAGTCGGAGACAGGGGGGCTATGTGTGAACCCAGCAAGACAGGGCTACATCCAGAGCCCTGTGACCTGGAAATGCCGCCTTTGCAGACCAGGGAGCCGTACTGGGCGAGAGTGGGCCCTACGTCCAGTGCCCACTGAGGGTCATCAGGAGACAGACCCACGGGGAAGAGGCCGGGTGAGGACAGAGGCCGGTGCTGACTGATGGGCGCTCACACCAAGGAGCACCCCTGGACAGCTGGTCACCCGAGACGAGGTGAGTGCAGGGACAGGCGGGACCTGCCCCCAGGGCCTTGGAGGAAGCCCGGCCCCCCTACGCCCGCCCTAACACCTGGGTCAGACTTGTGGCCTCCACATCCGGGACACGGTCAGTTCTGTGTCTTTCAGCCCCGAGTTGGGGAGGACGTTTCGCAGCCCCGGGAAGCCGTACAAGCCCCGTGTCCTCTGCGCCTCCCTGTGCACCCCCAGGTCTAGGCCAGCAGAGTGGGGTCTTCCCCAGCACGGCCGCTCCGGGCTCTAGTGGGGGGAGCGGACGCCGCCCGAAAGGCTGAGCTGCGCATGCTGGGGACGCACAGGGACAGGGATGGGGGCTTACCGAGCTGGTCCTGCAGCGTCTCTGGACATAAACAGAAAAAGAAAGTCCGGTCTAGGAGGTGCAGAGGAGGATCTGGTTGGTGGGTGTGGGCGGCGCAGGGAGGTGGCAATGACCTGCATCTGGGCCTCACCTTGGGCGCCCCCCCCACCAGCTCTGCGCCCACTGCTTCCTTCTCACCTCGTGCTCTCTCCCCTCATCCTGAGACGGTGCCTGGCTCCTCTTCCAGTGTCGCCGCAGCAAGCACACCACCACCACCTCCACCACCACCACCACGACCAGCACGATACCCAGCACGATCAGGAGCACCACCATCCAAGGCTGTGTGTCCCTGAAGAAGGCACCTGCGAAGGGGTAGCGTCAGCCCCTGAAGGGATCTTCTGTCCCCAGAGCGCCCAGACTCTCATTGCCACACAGTCAGGACGGTTTTCCTGAAATATCTCCCCCCCATGGGATGAGATAGAGCATGAGGACGCACACACAGTGTCACTGACATCCCCTCTGCACCCCGTCCCCCACTGACTACCTGCCCCCCTCAGTCAGCAGAGTCTGGTGGTGAAGAACAGACTCTGGGGCTGGGGGCCTGGGTTCCAGTCCCGGGTCTCCTGCCCACCAGGGCTGTGACCTTGAACGAATGACGTAACCGTCTGTCGCTGCGTCCTGATCAGTGAGAGCATTCAGTTAGTGCTTATGCAGTGCCTGACGCAGGGTGAGTGCCACGCAGGTTTCATTGTTTTGAAAACTGAATAGTTTATTTCATCTTGTTTATAGTGGAAACAGCCCCTATGCAGCTGCTGTGGATGCCGTCCGTCCCGTCCTGTGTCTCGGTCACTGCCCGCTCCAGCACAGCGAGCAGGCCCGTGTCTCTCCCACAGCGCAGCGCCCACTGCACACCGGGTGCCCTCTAGTGGGCACCCCTAGGCTCTGCCCTTTGTCCTGGGGGTCACTGGTTTGAAAATACCCAGTCACAGGCGTCACGTCCCACCGCTGCAGGCTGCCCGTCAGGTGGTCCCCAGAAGTGGGTTTTGCATCAGTCAGTGAGCAGTTCAGGTGCAGACGGCCCTGCGCCCCCACAGCACGGGGGCCGACCCACCCCAACACCATCCAACACCAGGAGCACAGACGGCTACGGGGCTGTCTCCCCACAGCCCGCCACCAGAGGGCGCGCACCCCCTCGTTTGTCCTGCTGCTGCCAAATTCCCAGGTGGAAATTGTTCCCTGTTCGGTCAGATTTGTCATCCTCCTGGGAGTTTTACCTTCCTGGGAACTGATGATTCCCCTTTTTGCTCTTTTATCCACGGTGTTCCTTTATGTGTAAGGAGATTAGCCCTTTCACTGAGATTTGGGGTGTACCTACTTTCCCCTCCTGGTGTGTTTGCTGAACTTTCCCCTCTGTCCCCACGTCCCACTGCCTGGCTCCGTGTGTGGCAGGAAGTGCTCAGAAGGTGTCTGTGACATAAACCCCTTCAGGGAAAGAAGCCACAGGTCCCTGCTCTGTGCCCTGATGTCTCTTGGGGACCCAGGTCAGCAGCAGACCCCGAACCTTCCCCCAGGGGCACCAAGGAGCCCAGGGCAGGGGGCAGGGCACTCACCTGCGATGGAAAGCCTGGCTGACCTCTCCGGGCCCAGCAGGGGATTTCTGATGACACAGGAGACCCCCTCCCCAGAGCCGCCTTCCAGGATCACAGACGCTGAGGCTGCATAAAGGCCCTGGGGGTCTGCAGCCGCAGATGCTGCCTCCGAGGACAAGCTGTGTCCCCTGGCGTCTCTCCACTGGATCTGGGGCTGCGGGTACCAGCCGCCACACGTGCACTCCAGACGGATTCCTCCAGCCTCGTAGCCCTTCATGTCAATGTGGAAATCAGAGCCCAGAGCTGGGGAGGAGAAGTGAGCTGAATCACGGGGAACCCTCTGTACTGGTGGGGTCTCCTCACCAGGGAGGGGCGCCCACACTGACGAGCCCAGCAGGGACTCACCAGGAGCTGCTCCCAGCGTGTGCTGTGCAGCAGACACTGATCCCCGATGGGGCCACTGCCTGACCCTGGCTGGACCCTCGTGCTAGATCCAGGGGGCTCTGGGCCAGAGCAGGGGCTGCTTCCCCCAAGTCCCCTTAGAGACTGCCGCAGCCTCCCCTCCCCCTGCCCCAAACAGGCTGCTCCCTGGCAGAGCCCCTCACCCCTCCCTAGGCAAGCATGGAGGTGGTGCCCCTTCGCGTAAGTTGGACTCACGCCACTGCCCCTGTCCGTGCTGCCTGACCTGTGGGGGCCGTGCCCTCCCATGAGCAGGAGGAGACACACGGTGTCCTGCCATCGCCAGAGCGGGGACTTGTGTGCAAGGCCCCTCGGGAGGCTCTTGCTGCTGCCCTCACTGCCAGGCTGCTCGGCTCTCCCTCCAGGGTCTCCCCCGGAAGTGCCCACAGCGAGGCTGTGCAGAGGGGAGGACTTTCCCACGGAGACAGCAGATGCAGGGCCAGGAAAAGGGGAGCTACTGCCACCTGTCCCCACGCCCCTGAACACACGGAGGGGGAAGAAGCCCAGTGAGGACCTGAATACACAGAGTCCTGCAGGGAGGGCTCCGTCGGGGGAGCCGAGGTCACCAGGAAGGGACAGCAGGCTGAGGAGGGACCGTGCGGGGACAAGGCCGGGGGGCTGGCACCGCCCCTGCTCCACCAGCCCCCCCGCACTGGAAGCCATAGGGCAGGGCTGTGTCCACAGAACTCGAACTGCAGCCCTGACGCCCAGACACGGGCACGTTCGTGGGGCAGCACCTCAGACAAGGCGCTCGTCACTGGGGTGGGTCAGGGCCACGTCAAGGTCACTCAAGGGTGGGGTGACAGCAGAGGAAAGAGGAACCGTGTTCAGTGACCCACCTCCCTGTGCCGACTGTGAGTGACCAGTGACACCCCCACCATCCTGACCGCGTCCCACCCAGAGCCCAGCGCTGCTTCCACATCCCCCCGAACCGCACCGAGTCCTCCCTGACGCCCCCTCTCTGAGACACCCCGGTGTCCCCGTCCCCAGGGGAGCGTCCTCCCTCCCTGCACCGAGGACGTCACAACCTGTGCAACTGCAGGTGTGTTCCCGGGGGTTTGGTGGGGGACGGGGGCCCACAGGTGTTGTCCCTGCAGGTCAGACCCCTGGACCCACCACAGCGGGCCCCTGGGGGACGATGGCATTGGTCTGGATCACACTGAACCCAGACACCCATGTTCCACCCACTGCGGGGAGGTCTCTTCCTCCTTCCCGTCCCCAACCTCCACTCCCCTGCTGAGACTGGTGGGCGGCGTGGGGGACTCTGTACTGGGTGTAGGAGGAAGTCACCCCAGGGGACCCCTGGGTGTGTCACAGGCCTCAGAGGCACAGAGATGGAGCGGGGGGGGAGCGGGGAATGGATGCTGGTGAGCAGCCCACGTGCTCTGGGGTAGGTCTGCAGCCTCTGCCCCCGCCCAGGGAAAGGAGCCTGGAACAAGCCTGAGGCTCACCTGCCACCTGCAGCTCCACCTGGGCTTCTGCATAGAAGTCTCCGTCTTGGAAATAACACAGGTAGGTTCCGTTGTCAGAGACGCTGACGTCGTGAATCCGGAGAGCGGCCTTCCCCGCAGTGACGTCCTCTCGTAAAACCGAAGTTCTCCCTCGAAACTCCTCTGCCGGCGTCTCCTCCTGCCCGTGTGCGTACCTGTGCACTACCTGCCTGCGGCTGGGTCGCACCCACATCAGCTCCATGTTCTCAGCGCTCATCTTTGGGGACAGGTGACAGGGCAGGTCTGCGTCTTCACCCACCATGGCCAGGATGGGCTCGGGGGGTCCGACCACAGCAAATTCAGCTGGTCAGCAGAAGGGGGGGGCCCGTCAGACTGAGCAGGGCCAGAGGGCCAGGGGGTGTCCCAGGAAGGGAAGGGGAGGTGATAGACACCTAGATGGTATATCAGCCCTGACACAGGTGCGTTGTGGACAGGCCTTGCAGGGGTGGGAGGGGTCCCGGGTTCTGACTGGGCCCGAAGGGAAAGGATGCAGACACACAGACGCACAGCCGGTCCTACCTGAGGAGGAGCTGAGCAGCTGGACCACAGCGAGGCACACAGGGAGGGCGGGCAGTCGGGGCACCAGGCACCTCCCCATCCTGACCTGCTGTGCACACAGAGAGAGAAGCCAGCAGGGGCTGGGCAGCAGGGACCACCTGGAAGGAGGAGGAGCATTCCACGTGGAGAGGCTGCCTTCCCAGGGCTGATCAGGGAACCACCGCCATCACTGGGGACCCAGAGCGTCCTCTGCAAATGTGCCCTGGGGGTCTCTTCTCCTTGGATCCCACCGTGGAAATCAGCCATGACACATGGACCGGTAATGCAGGTACCTTATCCCTCGCCAGCAGGGAGCACCGGGCTCTCCTGTGGGAACCTGCTCAGAAGCCCCCCACTGGCCCACACTTCCCTGCCCCAGCCAGGTGCCCACCCCCCAGACCACCCTCTGAGGAAGGCAGGCCCCTGGGCTCTGAGTCTCCGGTCCCGCAATTGCCCCCTGCAGGCCGCGCTCCACACAGCAGCCATCAGGTCCTGCCCCTTCACCTCCCTCCTGCTCAGCCCCTCCCACGGGGTCCCCTGTCACCCAGGGCAGAAGCTCACGGCCTTTCCACCCTGTGCTTTACATTATCTGACTGTTTTAGGGGATGGCTTGGTTGGGGGGCAGTGGTTCAGGGAAAATGGAGAGAACTGTACCTGAACAGAATTAAAATTAATTAATTAATAATTAATAAGAAAAATACCTCAATGATTTGAAGATTAAAAATTACCAGACTGGGGGACACATTTCTACAATATTTTGCAGGGTATTTACTGTTTTTTATTCCTATCACACACCAACTTAAATAAAACCTAAAGGAATGAAATTTAAATAACTCAGAATGGTAATTACATCCTGTGTTGCATGTGAAAGTGAACTCCTGTGGATGCATTTGGCCACATGTACACAGGGGCGACCCAAAACCAGAATCTATTTATCAAAACTGTTTTTATTCTCACACCTTTACCCTTCGGTCCCCCTCACATGCTCCCCCCTGGATGGGGGACACCCGTGGGGACGTCCCTCCACCGCCCTGAACACTCTCTGCACTCGGCGGCTCTGACGCCTCGTAAAGCTTCTGCTGTTTTGTTTCACGTCTTAGATGTCGGGATGTTTCCCTTTGTGGACTCTTTTCACCCGGGAAAGAAAAACAGTCGCGCTGGGTGAGATCTGGGGAATAGGTAGGGTGGGCATGTGGGTTTTTATCAAAAACTGCTGAACACTCAGCGCAGGTGGGCAGGTGGGCTGGTAAGTCACCCGTTGTGAAATGGGCCAGTGCTCTGGGAGAGTCGTCCAAAAAAAATTCAGTAAAGCCCAATGCAGCCTCTCACAACAACGCCAGCTGGTCATGGATGCAGATGGGCTCCTAGAACTTTCTCTCCTAGTGGGGAAGCCTGGACGGCAAGGGGCCCACCCTCCAGAAGGTAACTGCTGGTTTGTTTATTTTTTTTTCCTGTTTCTGGTTGGGTCACTCCTTGTATACCAAACGCCCTGAAAAAGTTTTATCCGTAGCACCAAAGATTACATCGGGAAGAAATGCTTTTAAAGAGACACTGGCAATAATACAAAAACTGACATTTAATGCTGTTCATTATAGTGAAATCTGCAAGAGCACTGTGTATAAAGTGCATCCAATTTTGTTATAATTATGAATAAACGTGTTATAAAAACATAATTCTTTCCCTAGCTTGTGGGGGTCAGTGTACTGAGTGCAGGGTTGGGAACCAAAGGGTCGCTGGTTTGATTCCCACTCAGGGCACAATCTTGGGTTGTGGGCCAGGTCTTCAGTAGGAGGCGCATACCAGGCAACCACACACAGATGTCTTTCTCTCCCTCCTTCTCCCTCCCTTTCCCTCTCTCTAAACAGAAATAAAATAAATCTTAAACAAACAAACAAACGTAATTCCTAGACACACCGTGACACAACACGCAACGGTGAGAAGCCGAAAGCTCCCTCTGTCCGATCAGGAGGAAGACAGACGCCCACCCTCACCACCCCCCGCCCCAGAGCACTGGGAGTCCGAGCAACAGCGGTCACAAGAGACAGAGACAAACAGCAAGCACATCAGAGGGAGGAGGAGCCTTCGCACTGCTCGCAGACGGCAGGACGCGGTACGTAGGGCCGTTTGAGGACCCGCAAACTCCCGTTAGAATGTGGAAATGAAGGCAGTGAGGTCGCAGGACACAACGTGGACACCGGGTGCACTTCCGTGCAGCAGCGATGGGTAACCAGAGGGAGGTGTCCTCAGCCCCTCCTGCGGTTGCGTCCCCCTCCTGCGATTGTGTCCGAAAGCAGAAAACACCCAGGAACAAGGTCAACCAGAGAGCGGACAGCCTGCGCCCTGATGGCTGGAGGAACCGAGAAAGGAGATGAAGAGGGGACACGCGATGGGGGACACACTGAGCTCAGGGTCGGCAGGAGCAACTCTGTCACACCGGCCTCGCTGCCTGAACAAAAGCGCAGACTCAGGCTGTCTTTGTCAAAGCGCCGATGGCTTTCTCCTCAGAAGAACGAGGAACCCTAAAATATATTTATTGTCCATGCCTTGCGGTTTATTCCTCAGTGAGGCAGACAGGTCAGGGGGGAGGCTGCCGCCTTTCTACCTGGCCTGACTCCCTGCTCACATTTAAGCCCCCCACGCAGTGCAGGGGACTGTGGGCGGAGGGTCGCTGCCCTGGTGGCAGTGCGGGGTGGGAAGGTGGTGGAACCCCAGCCCCCGTCACAGACTGTGGGGCACCCAGAGATGCAGGGTGAACCCTGTGCGTTCCTCTCTCGGACAGCTGCCCTGAATCCGGGGGGGGGGCCTCAGGGGGACCCTTTCACCACAGACGTGTGTCATCCTCGTAGACACGTGTCCTGGCAGCCCGGTCACCCTGTTCACCTGTGACACCTGCCCTTCAGGTGATTCCTAGGAGCCAGGTCGATGCAGGGCGGGCTGCAGAAACCAAAGGACCCCCACGCCTCACTGCGCCCACTCACCCTCCCGGCACTGGGCACATGGCAGGCACGCCGTCTCTGGGTTGCAGTGGGTGGTGAAGGAGCCAGGTCTGCCCAGGCTGCACTCGGTGAGTCGGTCCACGTCGAAGACTCTGCCGGCTTAGGGGCCTGTGGGGTTGGGGGGAGGGCACAGAGGTGATGGTGTGGCCCAGGGCACAGACCTCCCCTGGTCCCCGCGGCCTCTGCCTGAGGAGGTGCCACAGCACCTGGGGGCCTGTCCCCAGCACAGCACCAACCCTCAGCTCCTGTCTCCTTGGAACCCTCTGGACAGAATCCGGCTCCATGTGTCCCAGGGGCTGGGGACCTGACTCACCCTCGGCTCTTCTCAAGATGCTGCAGCTTGGGGAAGAGGGGTGCTGAGTGGGCACCCCCAAGCTCACGCCCACTCCTCCCCCCAGGGCCGCTCTGCAGCTTCCGGGCTGTGCGCAGGGGCAGCACTGGTCGTCCAGAAAGAGGTGTCTGCCCCGTCCCACTGGAGTTGATTTTTAGCAAATAATAGACCAGGCTTCTTAAGAGAACCACTCCGGCCACCCTCCAAGGGGTGGGTTTGGGTGTGGCAGCACCTGCAAACGCGTCCCTACGCCCCGCCCCGGGCTCCCGCCTGGCTCCTCCCTAGGAAATCTGGTCCCCGCGCCCCGAACTCGCAGCCACCCTTCCCCCACAGACACCCCCACGGACCCGCAGGCAAGGAGTCCGCAGACAGGCTCCACAGAGGCCCGAGCAGAACGTGGACAGTCTCCAGGCCCCTCAGAAAACTGGGGACCCCCCTGAGGTTCCCCAGCGCCACCATCACCTGCAGCAGGGCGGGCACCCCGCCGAGCAGAGGCAGCCCCCGCCCGGGGCGCCTGGGACCCTCGGCTCAGCAGGGCTGGAGGAAGGCGGTCCGGGACCGCCCGGGCACTGGCTGCCCGGAGACCAGGGGACCCCAACCACGGGCCGAGGGCCGGGCCCATTATGGGCGTGTTAGGAACCCGGCTACTGGCAAAGCGCAGCCGAACTCGGCGTTCTGTTCCCCACCCCCACCCGGGCTCTTCCATAGAGCATCTGGGGTCCGGAGGTCAGAACAGAAGGCGGCGGGTCTCCCCCTCCCCCACCCGCGCCGGACCCGGCTCAGAGCTCTCACTTTGCGCGCGATGTTGTCCACCCGGGGCAACGCCGGCCCGGCTGCAGGGGCTGCCCTCCCCGAGCGCCCGGTACCCACCTGCGCCCGGACGAGGAGCGGCGGCAGAGTCGGGAGAGGGGAGCGAGGCGACCGGAGCGAGCCCCGCCCCGGAGCAGCGGCTCAGCCGGGTGTCGTGGTTTCAATTACGCGGCTGCCCGCGTGGGTCCTCCAGGTCGGATGAGTGGCGACCGGAATCACAGACCGGTCCAGGGCGGACTGGCTGCACGAGAGCGACTTCCTTAGAACTGTGCCCCACGGAGTCCCGAGGAGCCAAGACAGGAAGCGGATGCTTAAAAAAAAAGCGCGCCACCCTTCAGACGGCCGAGGGGCCGATCCTCCCTGAGCGCGGGAGCCTGGGGCTCAGCAGAGAAGCACCGGGATGGCTGCCGGGCTGTTCCCCTTCAGGCGGCTCCGGGTGGGGGAGGGGCCGCAGCGGGGAGCACCCGGAAGACCCCGCAGAGGCCCCGCCCCGTCCTCCCGCGGCGCCCGGACCCCGCCCCCAGCCCGGGCTGTCACTCACTCCGCTCCAGGGGCTCCGACTAGTCGCTCGCACCGCTCGGGGTCCCGCTGCACGCGGGCTGGGATCTTTCGACTTGTTCAGAAGACACAGGTGGTAGACAGACGGGGGAACAAGAAACAGCTCCCGACCAAACCACCGCTGTCTGCGCTCTGGCGTCGGGAGAAACCGAAAACGTCTCAGTAAAGTCAGACGCCGACAGAGTTAACAGCAGCCGTGGGACCAAGTCCAGACAGACCGACCGCACGTGCGCTCTGGAAGGACGAGAAAACCCTCGGTCCGGGCACCTGCACCGCGCGACCACGGCAACACCGCTCACGAGGGGGAGACACGGACCCCCCTCAGTGAGATGCACAGACGGACAGAGCGGCCGTGTGTGCGCACAGACACACGCACACCCACTGGAACTCGCCACCACAGGACGGAGGACCCCTGTCATCGCAGGACCGTGGACACACCGGGGAACAGGGCTCAGTGAGGCACTGAGACAGACACACTCCCCAGATGACCCCATGTCACATGCACCCCAAACACCATCCAACACGATGACATGTCCCCTCTGACCCCTCCAGGGGTTCTGTCGTCTTCAGACCGTGCAGGTGGGTCTTTGAGTCGCTGTGAGTTAGTTTCTCCGTCTGCTGTGACATCAGGGCACAACTCCTACCGGGCCTGGGGACGTCCAGGGTCCCCAACACCACTTACTGAAAAGCTGTCCTTGTCACAGAGCGGTCAGGGCTCAGGGTCTGTTTGTTTAAAAATGTCTCTTAGTCAAAGAGCAAGAGAGATAACTCCACCACCAGAGAGAACACGTGTCTGTCTGCACCTACGTCTGAGTGTCCCTCGGCCACACAGAGAGGTGACGCCCTGGCAGGTCCCACCATGACCCAGGGGCTGGGGACACCAGCCTAAACGAGAGAAGCCGGGCACACAGGCCACATGTCACTGGATTCTGTGTCTGTGACCCGTCCTGAACAGGGGGTCCGTCCCAGAAAGTAACTCAGGCTTGCTGGGGGCCGAGGGGGAGGGGGCGCTGCTGGTCCCAGGGCTGATGGGAAGGAGCAGGAACTGCACTGCCCCCGTCAGACGGCTCCCCCGGGTCGTGGGGTTTCCTCTCCTCAGACAGACCCCTTAACAACAGGACCCCCTCTCACCTGGACCAGGTGGGCAGCACACCGTGTCCGCCGTGGAGTTGCACTGCTCAGGAACACTGTCCCCTCGGGACACCTGGGGGTCGGGGGGACACAGCTTCACTGTTCCTGCTTCCACGTCTCCCCAGCCTTAGGCTCCCGGGTCCACACTGTCACCAACAGAAGGTGTCTACATGGGGCGCTTCCCCAGCCCACTTTGGGGAGCATTGTGTGCTGTGATCACAGACCCCACGAGGGGCCTGGGGTCACAGGAAGCCCAGCCTCACCCCAGAACCAGCCCTGGTCCAGCGAGGAGGACAGGTGACCTGTTTCCCCCCGATGGACGTCCATGGCCGTGTGTGTGGGCCTGGGAGCTGGAGGGGAGGGTCTGTCCTCCTTTAACAAAGGCTGGGGACGCAGCTGCTCCCTCCTCCCTGTTGCCAGCTGAGAGCGCACCGTCAGTGCAGCGCGTTCTGGAGTCCTGGGCAGGTTGGCTCACACCCAGGGGAGTGACTCACTTGCTGAGGACCCTGTGTGGGTGCTCCCGGCGCCCCCACCCTCCGCACTGCACGGCCCGGAGGCACCTGTCCAGGCCTCTCAGTCACCGACCTTGTGCTTCCTCCACCCCCGGGTCCCCACCTTCTTTCTGGGGAGCTCGGGGCTTATTCTTGGACCGCAAACTCCAGATCACAAAGGGAAAAACACTGGAGACCCCTCCCGGTTCGACAGCATTTAGGAACCAAAAGCCCGTCCAGCCTGTCCCTTTGCTGCCCTGTGACCGCTGCGGGGACCATGGAGAAGAGGGGTGCAGCGCGGCTAGAATGCGGCTGTGGAGCCCAGGTGTGGTCTCTGCAGGAGGAACTGCCGCTCCGGGTCCCTCTGCCCACCCATTTCTGCCCCACCCATTCCCCCCACCCCCACCCCATCCAGAAAGAAGCTAGAGAGGCGGAGCCAGGCTCCTGCCCCCACCCCTCACCCCACCCAAGGCAATTTCCTCCTTTGCTCTCTGCTGAGGGCGCGGCTGGGACTGAGCAGCTTTAACCGTTGCCACAGTCTTAGGTCAAAGTTCGCAACCACCCCCACCCCGGTGACCCACTGAGTCACCTGCAGTCCTGCCAAAGAAATCTAAGGAAAGTCCCCCCAGCGCCCGGGAGGGGCAGTGTTCACACAGTGAGAAGCAGGCCCAGGGGGCAGGGGTCCCATCCAATGTCCCGGGAGCCAGCTGAGGACGTGGAGCCACAGGGCCTGGGTGGCCCCACCGACTGCCCCTCCCTGCCCTGCTGCCCGGCCCATGTCCTGCTTCTTCGGTTCCTCTGGGACCACCGTCCCCCAGTGCTCCGT